GGCGCCAGGCCGGTGTCCTGTTTTATCCTGTATCCCGTTGCGTGGTCCTTCTTGTTTAGGTTCTGTTAGCTACACACTGTAATGTCTTGAATAGTGGTCGCTACGTATGTTTTCCCATCGAAAGCCATAATATGATCGAAAATAATACACTATAATATAACGAGCGTTCAAATAAAAACGTGGTCGAAGTTGGCTCTGACACATTGGACGTAGGGAGTAGCTTATAGCGACCAACTTAACCTCATTTCTCAACGAGCTGTATAGCAGCTGTCAGTTTCAATAACGTTAATGACTATATAACTTTCTTTTAAAGAATAATCGTGATAACAGTAACAAACAATTAAAGGAGCTGCGGAAAGTGTCCCCCTCCTTGTTATAACAATAAATTAAAGCAGCTGCTGAAAGTGTCCCCCTCCTTGTTCCAAGCACTTTTCACACCTGTTCCTCAAAGAATTATAGACATTTTCGATGCTCGGGGTATTGTTAATTTCACGAATCTTGTCTATAAGTCGAGCTCTATGATAAACACTTTTTGTTCTTGAGAAAACACCATTTTAAACGCTTTTTAAAACGAAATTGATAGCGGCGATATAGCGTTTTGACAGATGACGTTTAAGTTCATTTGCTATACGCTACGCCCTACGTCCAAATTTTCAGAACCAACTTGACCAGGTTTTTATTTGAACGCTCGTTAGAAAGCAAAGATAATATGATTAGTCAAGACGGTGTCTGTTTCAAAAAGTCCATATTTGGGTGAATCGTATATCCATAGATTTTTGGCTTTTTAGCTTTTTGGCTTTCAAATATCACTAGAAATGAAAATTTTTCTATGCGCATAAAAAAAACGTGGGCTTAACTTTTGGCGGCACAATATGTTAAAAAAATTCGAAATATGTCATATTTTTCTTCCTATTTAATTATGTATCTTTTCAAGAGTTGATTTTAAGTTTGTAATTAAATTTTTTACAAAATATGACTGGCTACAAATCGAATGAATCATGATTATTATTGTAAAAATCGGAAAAATCGCCAAAAATGGGGTTAAAAAACATTACTTTTTAGGGAATTTTTTTGAGGCTTTAAATTGGGTATAGGACCTTCATACTTGGTTCAAGATAAACTTCATGTTATGTAGAATCATCACACCAAATTTCATCAAAATCGGTTTTATAGATTTTGCATAATAATTTTCCAATCCAATTTTGAAAAGAAATTTGCAAATTTTCAAAATTTTGCACAGCAAAAACCAAGGCCCTTAGATACTTGAAAATTTAATCACATATAGAAGGGCTCTCAAGCTTTCAAACGCTTTTTGAAAAATTCGAATCCGTCAATTAGGAGAGCTCTGACGTTTGTTTAAACATTGGTCGAATTTTTGTACTTATAAATAATTAGAATAACTGCGAATATACAACCACATTTTTTAAAATAGGTTTTAAAAGTTCTTGGAAAAAAAAAATCAAAAACACGTTTTAAAGTTGGTTGAAAATGAATAAAAGTATTGCAAACTTAGATCTGGTAAGTACTCGGAATACCAAAGGTATTTTTCGAAAAATTAGGTTGTACGTCTCAGTAACGGTTAACTTTAATCGGCTATAACTACGTAACTAATTGATAAATCTATTTTTTTTAATGAAGTCTTTCCAATAACTTTTAAAACCTGTTTTAAAAAATTTGATTTGATTGAATATTCACAAAGTTATTCTAATTGTTTATAAGTACAAAAATTCGACCAATGTTTAAAGAAGCGCCAGAGCTCTCCTAATTGAGGAATTCGAATTTTTCAAACAGTGTTTGAAAGCTTGAGAGCCCTTCTATATGTGATTAAATTTTCAAATATCTAAGGGACTTTGTTTTTGCTGTGCAAAATTTTGAAAATTTGCAGATTTTTTTTCAAAATATGGATTGCAAAATTATTATGCAAAATCTATCAAACCGATTTCGATGAAATTTGGTGTGATGATTCTACATAACATGAAGTTTTCTTGAACCAAGTATGAAGATCTTATACCCAATTTTTAGCGATTTTATCAATTATTACAATAATAATCATGATTCATTCGATTTTTAACCAGTCATATTTTGTAAAAAAATTAACTACAAACATTTTTTCCTCTTCCATTTTGGCCTAAAATCAACTCTTGAAAAGAAACATAATTAAAAAGGAAGAAAAATATGACATTTTTCCAATTTTTTTAACATATTGTGCCGCCAAAAGTTAAGCCCACGTTTTTTTAAGCACATAGAAAAATGTTCATTTCTAGTGATATTTGAAAGACAAGCCTAGTCTAGATCCTGAAATTTTGTTTACGGGAGTTGTCAAATATGCTGTCTTCAATGAAAATAATGCCATCAACACAGCACTTCCGGTTATACCGGAAATAGTTGTCAAATTCGTTATGTTAAATGGGACACCATATACCGGGTGTTAGAAGACGGATAACACGAGGTACTAAGCTGTCAAGCAATACGCAATTCAGTTGGTATCTGGAATTGGACCGTGTCTGAGTGTTTTTTGCATACCACTATTTCCTTTTCTTGAGGTGTTTTCCAATGAGTGCGCAAAAATTGGATTCGAAGGTGTCGTGAATGCATCGACAATGACGATGGACATTTTGAGCACATGTTGTAGTTTGTTTTGTACTTGTGCGTTTAAAAATTACTGAATTTTGCTTTTTGGTAAGTCCATAAATTATTTTTAACACGTATGATTATGTACTTTAATTACATATTATCCAAATTCATAATTTGATTAAAAATCAAGTTCCTGTTTTAAGAGACTCATAATTACTAAAATAAACTCGAACTAAAAAAAAACTTATCTTTGTATTACAAAGGCAATTTGTCGACAACTGAAATTTATGGCTGGTCGCCCAGTCCGGCTGTGTTTGTTTGCCGTTTGCCCGGGCGCTCATTCAACTGGCTAAATAAATATGAGAACAAGTTTTTCAAATATTTCAATGCCAAGTTGTTGCGTAGCGACTGAACCTGGTATTTTTAATTTATCTTATCGATAATGGAATAATATATAGGATGTTCCATTTAAAATAACGATGTTGACGGCTATTTCCGGTATAACTGTTGATTGCATTAGATTTAACGAAGAGAGCATATCTGATAACCCCCGTAAACAAAATTTCAGTCATATTATCCTTGGTTTCTCTGAAACGTTTAATAGGCTACTTACTTTGAAGAACTCTGTATATTAATAACCGGTTCATCCGGAATTAGCGTAGTAAGTTGTATCATCACTTAGCAGCGTTGCCAATTGTTCCCTTTTTAAATCAACTGTTAGAAAGCGAAACTAAGATGGAAAATAATTTAGTGAAAACAGACTACTTTTGCATGTTTTAGCGACGTATCATTTTAAAGTCATCATACTTGATTTAACGTCAATGTAAACGAATCGATGAATATTAAAAAAAGATTATACGTGTTTAAAAAAGTGACATTTTGTACATGATTTATTGAATATTGGTATGAAGATACGGTACTAATTGCAAAATTGCTAAAATAATACGGTGTTTCTACTGTTTTCGGTTACTTTAAATTGAAAAGAAAATTTTATATTTTGTGCACAGAGTTGAGCGATTTTTGTATGGTCACTTAACAACCTGCGGACAAAAAATACTGACAACACTGGCTGATAGAACTACGAAATGAAAATGTTTAAAGCAAAAACTTTTGAAACTATTTTTTATCGTGTTAAACTTGTTTTAAAATAATTTAGCACTGTTTAGCTGCTAAAAACAAATTTTAGGACTGGAGATATTTTTTTTATAAGTTACCAAGAGACTCCTCATAACACTGCTAAATCTACGAAACTTTTTACATCCGCCTACCTATACAAACAATTTTAATAATTTATTTTAGAAATAATTACGGCAAATGTCCCTGAAGTTGTTACCATACAACTTGACCTGACCCAACTTCTCTGTCCTTGTCCTGCTTAATACAAACTTCATAAATCAATTAGGTTTAATAGAAGTTAGAAAAGTATTACAGGAACAAACCGAAACCTCTAAAAGTCTGTACATGGATTAGACAAAGTCGTTAAATGGTAAATAAAACCGTAAGTTAATAAATGGGTGTGTTTTTAAGTGAAGCAATAAAAAAAGGACATAAACTCAAATTGCAGTCTCATGAAAACAGCATGTCTAATGCTGATTGATATGCTCTTCTTGTAATATTATTAACTACAGCTTATCCATGACATTTTTACGTATCACTGTTCTTATAAATTAAACAAGAACGGTTTTATTCTTTTTTAATATCTATATATTTCAGAAAAGTACTGCTGGATATACGCCTTCGCTCTTTGTGATGTTTATACTCGTATCGCTGTTTGTCGTTGTAATATTTAATTCACTGGACAAATAATGATTCAAATAGTCAAATAGACAAGAGGACGCTAATTATTTACTCTTGCTATTGACAGCACGAGTCATCGTTATGTTGTTACTTTCTTTCGATATAAATTATTTTTAAGTGCTGTTAAAACGATTACAATCATCAAATTGCTGGAAATTCATATAAATAAGTTGTTTTCTTGATCTTATATTGTTGTTGTATAATACAAAGGTATAGGTACATATTGGAAAAATGTTTTTGATTTACGTAAAGTATAAGTTTCAAGTTTAAAAAATTATTATTTCCGCAATTTTTTAATCATATGAAATTAAGGTAGAAAATCACAAATGTAAGATTGTTTTCTTTATTTGTTAAGTATTTTGTGCCAAAAGGATTAAGGAAGGAATATTTTTTACGAAAGTAGTTTTGCCTAATCAAAAATCTCACTAAACATATGAAAATGCAATTTTTTTAAATTTTCTGTCATTATTTGGGCGCTTCTGCAAAAAAAGTTAGTAAAGTACTGGTTGTCTGAAAAACTGCTATAATGTTTTTATAATAACAATAATAATAATAATATAATGTAAAATAATAATTTTTAAATTAATAATGTTAATTATTAATTCAAGTAGTAATAATAATATATAATATTATATTCATCAATATACACATTGTTCCTTTTGTCATATAATCAAATCGAACACTTTATACATTCTTCCTCGTATAATATATATTTTTAGAAACTGCAGAAATGGAAGCTTTTAACTGTAGCATCTGTTGTAAAACATTCAGTCGATCAGACAATTTAAAACGTCACTTATCTTCCATTCATAGTAGCAATAGTCATTTGAAAATGAAAATGTATAAATGTAGCGTCTGTTCAATGCAAAGTACATATAAAAACAACGTAATTAGACATTTAAAAAGAGTGCATGCTGTGGAAGAATGTGAAGAACCATCATCAAGTTATGAACAAATAAATGACGACGTTATCCAACAAAAAGGAGAAACATCAATAGTAAAGGAAAAGCCTTCCTCAAGATTTTGTGAAACTTGCAATCTTGAAATAGCAAGAGAAAAATTCGCTTCACATGAGAGAAGTTTGTTCCATAAACAAAATTCATGTGTAGAAATTGAACCTGACATTTATTTAATAAATTCGGCTTTCAAACGAAACATTGCAACTTATAGAATCAAATGTGAAAGTCAAAATGATTCTACAATTACAGACATTTCACTATTTTTCTCCAAAATCAAAGATAAAATAATAAAACTAATTGCTACGGCTCTGCGAGGAACTTCATTAAAAATCAATTTCGAACTATTTGCTTGCTATGTTCTTTCCACAAAAGAGAATGATGAAGAAGCAAGTATTAAAAATGAAGTTAAATCATTCAATAGCAAGTATGAAATTGTGACAACTTCGACAAATTTGAATGATATTTATTCTCATTTTTATAATGTCTTAAAAACTAAATCTGAAGAGTTTGAGGTTAGTAAATTTATTATTTTTAATATTAAATTGTATAATAATGTCATTTTTTTTATTATAGCAGCAAGATTCAGGCTGGTCTCTACTAACATTACTTTTCCTCGAAGTCAATTTGTTGAAGTATAATCCTCTACATGCATCATCGTTTATACCTCTTCCATCCGAGATTAGTTCTAGAAAAGCAGTTGTAAATGTAAAAAACAATGACTTAATGTGTTTTAAGTGGGCTTGTTTAAGTGCACTACATCCATCATTAAATAATTCAGATAGAATAATTAATTACGAATCATATTCAAATGAACTTAATTTCAATGATATATCATTTCCCATGGAGTTTAAAAATATTTTTAAATTTGAAAAACAAAATGAAAATATTAGTATTAACGTTTTTGGTTTAGAGAAGAGTGCTGTGAGTAATAGCAAAATGAAATATAATATTATAGGTCCTCTTTACCACACGAAAATTCGTAAAGAAAATCATATAAATTTACTCTATCTAGAATCAGAAAATGGTAATAATGGACATTTCTGCTGGATAAAAAACTTGTCTAGATTAGTGGGTTGTCAGATAAATAACCATGGTCATGTCCTTTCTATTTGTGATGGTTGTTTAGTATTTTTTCGAAGAAAAAGTGATCTGGAAGAACATCTAAACAGAGGAGATTGTGCCAAAATTTGTACTATTTTACCAAAACCGGGCGAACATTATCTACAATTTAAGGATTTTCACAGATCATTTCCTGTACCATTTACAATTTACAGTGACTTTGAAACAATTCTAAATCCTATCGAGAATTGTGAATTAAATCCAGAGAAAAAGTATATAATGAATAGTCATATACATGAAGCTTATAGTTTTGCATATTATGTTAAATGCCATTTTGACAACTCCCTATCATTTCTAAGAGAATATAGAGGACAAAATTGTACATCCATTTATATAAAATGGTTGATAGATGATGTAAGAGACATATACAAGAAGTATTTTTCTAATATAATTCCAATGAGAGCACTTACTTTTGAAGAAACTGTAAAACATGAAGCAGCTACAACATGTTTCATTTGCGGAGAACCTTTTTCCACTGCAGCTACTAATAATTATAACAATGAACGAGAACAATTAAACATGATCAAAGTGCGAGATCACGACCACTTTACGGGTATGTTTGCGATTAATACAAAATTATTATTTTATGTAGCTTACATTATTATATTTTTCAGGTTTATACAGAGGGCCTGCACATATGAAATGCAATTTAAATTATCAAACACCCAACTTCATACCAGTGTTTCTACATAATGGCAGTAATTATGATCTACACCTGATTATAAAAGAATTGGCTTTACAAGTAAAATCACTTGACGTCATCCCATTAAATAAGGAGAAATATATTTCTCTTTCTGCGAAAATATATGTAAACCATAATACATTAAATGATGAAGTTAACGATGGTAATATGGATGAAGACGAAGAAGCAGGAAGAAATGTAAAGAAATACATAAGTTTACGATTTCTGGATTCTTACAGATTTATGGCTAGTAAATTGGATACTTTAGCAAAAAATTTGGAAATACATCAGTTTATTGAAACGCGAAAAGCCTTCCCAAATGATGAATTATTTAATTTAGCTAGAATGAAAGGCATTTTTCCATACGAATTTGCAAATTCCTATGAAAAATTGGAGGCAACTCGAGAACTTCCTTCAAGAGAGCAATTTTATAGTAGTCTAACTGAGACAACTGTAGAAGAGGAAGAATATGAACACGCTAAAAGGGTATGGAATGCATTCAATTGTCAAAATTTAGCTGAATATTCTGATCTATATCTGAAGACGGATGTCCTTCTTTTAACAGATATATTTGAAGCTTTCCGAAAACTGTGTATGGACTTATATGATCTAGATCCTTGTCATTACTTTACTCTACCTGGTCTATCTTGGCAGGCAATGTTGAAATATACAAAGGTTTGCTAATTATCATTTTAAAAAGTAGCTGTAAAACTAATATATAGTTATTTTTAGGTTAAACTAGAACTACTTACAGATCCAGACATGTTACATTTTATTAGAAAATCAATTAGAGGTGGTATTGTGCAGTGTTCACATCGNGACGATCCCCGTGAACTCCGTGCGTTCCTGCCGCGGAACCCGGTCAAGGGAACTAACATCCCAGATCACAGGTTGCGACATGGTTTCCAACGTGGAGCTCGATTAGAACTCCCGATGCCTCCACTGAGGACCCATGCCGACCAAACACAACATTCAGATCATACTTCACGACATGGCGCTCGACGTGGGGCTCGAAGTCCTGCTTCGACGTCTTCGCGGCGAGCCCATGTTACAAATTCCCCGCACAATTCTCAAATATTAGGCACTACAGATAATAATCCTCGACATGGCGCCCAACGTGGGGCTCGATTCGAACTTCCGATGTCTCCACCGAGGGCCCATGTCAATATGGCCGATACAAACGATCATGCCCCACGACATGGCGCCCAACGTGGGGCTCGATTCGAACTTCCGATGTCTCCACCGAGGGCCCATGTCCATATGGCCGATACAAACGATCATGCTTCACGACAAAAATATTCAAATTGATAGCGGCGATATAGCGCTTTGACAGATGACGTTTAAGTTCATTTACTATACGCTACGCCCTACGTCCAAATTTTCAGAACCAACTTGACCACGTTTTTATTTGAACGCTCGTTATTTGAATTTTCGGCAAATCTATTACAGACACAACAATAATTTGACAACTAATTTGACAAATGTCAAGTTGTTATAATTGTTTTAGGAGTGTTTCTGGTCATGGCCAATTTGACAACAGGTCTGATACGAGAAAAACTGCCCAAAAAATAGAAAATTGCAAATATCTCTAAAAGTAGTAACGGCAACCCTGACAATGCTTATATGGCTTGAAAGAAAATTTCATTCTGCATACGACAGAATATACAGGGTATTCCACTTTCAGTTAACAAAGTTATAGCTGTTTGAAGTTATCAAAATGTAACAGATTTAACAAAGTGACCCTCAAATTTAACATAGAATCTGAAAATGCAATAATATATACGGTGTCCCACTTAAAATAAGAAAGTTAGTATCGACATCCGGTATAACCGGAGGAGCCATAAAGTTCTAAATATTTTAGTTCTATTGGCTCTACTGCTTTTGCCAAATTTCAGTACTTTCAGAGGTATCGATAGTGATGATCCCTGATGAGACACTCTGTATTACATTATACAATTTATATATTTAACCGTGTACATATCTGCAAACCAGCATAAATAATTATCAATTCCCTTTAATTTCAAATTTCTGCTAACCGCATAAATTTAGAGTTAACCAATAATTCTGCTTTATCCTCGACCGTATCTTTTTGTTTACTGACCACAAACTGTAACGCAATTCATGAATGTGTAATTCTCGAAATTTCTCTGAATACCTGCTACATTTTGTTCTAATTATTTCTACGAAAACCGTTAGGTTTTTCAGTGGTTATATTTCTGGAGGAGGTCTTATCTTTGGATTATCGCTGTCTTCCCCATTTCCCTTATGCCTCATGGTTCGGGGTTATACAGTGCTTTCGAAAAGTAACGAATAAATTCATTATTTTTTAAATTGAGAAGTTTTCGAGAAAATCCCCTGGCACGACGATTTTGTTTTCAAAAAAGGCACTTTTTGACATACGACCCTTATTTGTGACGTCATCGTTGTTCGAGATATGACGTCATCGAATTTTTTTAAATAGCAACCCCCAATTTTGACAATGCCATTTGAAAGAGCGTGTCATTCTACATATACATCATGAAAAATTATGGTGTTACAAACAAAAATTTCAAGAAAATAATATTTGAAGATTTTAAAATTTAATTTTCACAATACTGAAAATGATAACGATTATGTAAAAATTTATTAATCGTCTTGGCTACTGTCAGGCAGCCAACCGTGCACAATTTGAACATTTAATTTAGTCGAAAAATAATGAATTTATTCGTTACTTTTCGAAAACACTGTATAAAGTTTAAATATACAACAATCTATAGCGATAAAATGAAAATATCTGAATAATGATCTGAAAAGTTCCTTTTAGTTGTAGCTGAGGTCAAGAAAATTAATTTTTCGCATTAAACATTACTGAAAATTCAAGCAACATATAACAAAATGTAAGCTTTTGCAGCCTTTTTTCTGTGAGGCCTTTTACAATTAAAAAATTATTTCAAAATATTTCCTTACCAACAACAATCAATGTGTTTTTAAAAAAAACAATAACAGTGACAACTAAAATCCTGAACAATTTATAAGTAATCACGAAGCAAGAACACAATTTTAATCATTGCTTAGATTTCTTAATAATTTTTTGCTCACCTCATGAGATGTTCGAGCCTTTCAAATTTTCGGTGGTAATGTACGACACTTCAAGCACTATCAGCGATAAGATTTCATCTAAATCAATAATTAACTAATACTTTGTAGGTAGCGGTAGCAGTACTATTCAAAACGTGACTACACAAACGTACCACTATAAACTAAGTGTTTACTTCTGTCCAACGAGTGTTTTCACTCAATTGTCGTTGACCACAAAGCAATTATTAATAACGATAAGTGTGATGCAATGCAATCAGAATTTTATATTTCTTAGAAAAAAATGCTTAGTTAAGAAAAGTGTAGCGCTATAAAAAAGGCTTTAATTAATTTCGTTTAGAGTCAAAACAAATTTTATACTGCCAAAGTGCTATGATACCAACAGTGGTGATTAACCAACTAATGTTTAAACGGAAAATGATAGACTATAATTATCGTAATATAATTTATCAATATCACGAATGTGATACATAATAATAACATATATCTATGTATAATTAGATAGAAATCAGTTCGTGAAGGTTGTTACGTATTGCGTTACATTTTTTAATTGCGCTACAATTTTAATTTGTAGTTTTTAGAAATGTAATCATGAAAAATTCCACACCTCTACTTTGTAGCCTACCAAGTTACATATTTTAAAAAGTTAACGTGGCAACGAAAAAAAATATCCAGATACATTGCTCGCAAACGAAATTATACTATTTTTATCATTTAAAATGACATTTGACATATACTGACATTATACAGGGTGTCCCACTAAGGTTGGGTCCTAGACCTAGGAAAACAATTTTGATTAATAAATCAACCAAGAGAAATCGCTGGAAATAGATTTCAAGTTCGAAGCTCGGCCAATTTTTGTATGCATTTACTATATGTATAATTTAAATGCATTTTTGTTGAAGACGGTTAGCCTTAGAGATATTAGTAAGCTATACCTTTTTTGAGCAGAAAAGTTGGGAGAAATGATTTTTCTGTCCGAAGTGAAATACACCGTGGCAAAAAAAGTTTTGGCAGTATAAATGCGTCCCAATGGTCGCGAAATCGTCCACAAATTCGAATTTCTCATCCCAAAACACCACCGGATACGAAGTTTCGCGAAATTAGCTCAAAATAGCCGACAGATATTAAAGAAAATGTTTTTTTCCAACTTCAACACCCTGTATCTCGAAAACTAAGCGTTTATGAGCAACATTGTATATAACTTTTCCTAATTAAGTTTCGTCATAGAATCTAGTGGCAAAGTTTGCTTTAACGAACACCCTTATAGTGTTTCTCTTCATACACTCGAATAACTCGAATTACTGATTGATTTTCTTTGCCGAAGCGAAATATTTTAAAACCCTACACAACAATTTCGACAAAAGTTCACGTGGGCTAAACAATTAACGTCGACGTGGCAGCAGTAACAAATCAACGCGGCCGGTATGGATTTCTCTACATTTTGATTTCAATTATTCGACTTCCAAATGTCAGGCTTGATTTTTAATTTTATTCATAATTTAATTTTGGTGTGAAATTTTCTTACCAAATGCCACACGTGCTTAAATTATTAGGGATAATTTTTTCATGATGACGAATAGGTATCTTTAGAAAATTATGTCTCGCCTACGACTACACTAGACAATTTTGGTGGAATTATAAGTAATAATTGCCACTGATGAAATACATTTTACAATACAACGGAAATGTAAAACAAAAAACAACCATTTTAAAGAAATCTATTCACGAGCAGATTTTAAAAAACCTAAAACCCTACACCTCAAAATGTGAAACTGGAGCAGAAAAATAACATTCCATCATATTTTGTACACAACTAAATTAATTACTCTTATATTTATTTATATCTCTCTGGTTATTAAGATTTTCAAAACATTTTTTTATATTGCTTATTTAGATAGCAGTGAGCAACTTCAAAGGTGCCGCAATGTTAATGCACTCAGAGGTCATCCCCCTTGTTATTTAGTTATACGAGTGCAATGTACTCCAAAAATTATATAAAAAAAATATTTCCTGAATAAACGTAAAAACATATTCCTACGAAAGTTGTTAGAAACTACTATTTAATAAATTTTAAATGAATGAAAGATACCTACAGTGACATAAACGAGATTCAAAACAATTGACTTTGCCGAATTCTTTGTAAAACAAACAACTACTAAAAAAATGTGTAACGATAAAATTAAACTAACAACGGAAATATGATACAAAGACCACACCAGCACAAAAAAAGTGGTCTTTGATTTGATCCAACAGTATTTTGACGTGCTCGATCCGAATCTAAACTCCGTTTAGCTCAAATACACCCAAAATTTTGAGTAATTGGCAAAAAATAGTGAAAAATCGCCGAAAATCACGTTGGTGAGCTCGAAAAAATTTGTTCTGAACTTAACGAAGTGGATGTCTTATGTATTTTAATACGCTGAATTCGAGTCTGAAGTCTATTTGCTGTATCCCCCCCAGATTTTGCAAAAAAAAAGCAAAAAAATAGCTGAAAATGGCAAAAAATCATATTAATGAGTCAGAAAATTTAGAAAGAAGTTTTCTAGATTGGATCAAGTGTCCTCATAAATTTCATCTAGTCGATTTTGAATCTAGTCTGTTGAGCCTCATTACCCAAAAATTTTGCAAAAATCGCAAAATATCGCAAAAAATGGAAGTTGTGAATCACAAAAATCTTGTTAAATGTAATGGACACGAATTACTTCCAAATAAATTCGACTGAGTCGAACCAGGCTTTCTTTGATGTTGTCCTTACACTTTTCTTCTCTTGTAGCGAACTCTTTTCTCTTCGAATGACCTATCAGCGGGTTTCTCTTTCTCTTCTGTCTATTCTGATTCGTTTCTCTTTTTAGTGTCCAACAGAAATCTGCCATGTTGATATCCCATCTTCCTTTATATCAATTTTTACATTTATTTTTGAAAAAAAAAACTTTATAGAAACGGTTATTTTTAGACAGTACAAGGGATCATAAAAACGCTCCGGAAAAAACTTCAGGAGAAGTCCGGGGGAGAACTCTGGAGAAAACTTCGGGTAAATGCTTTGGATGAAAAGTTCCGAGTGAAAAGTCCGGGGAAAAGTCCGGGAAAACAGCTCGGGGAAAACTCCGGGGAAAAATCCGAGGGAAACTCCGTATAAAACGCCGGGGTAGACTCCGGGGAAAAATCCGGAGAAAAATTCCGGGAAAATTCCGGGGAAAAACTATTGGGTCAAATCAAAGCTACAGACCACTTTTTGTGTGTGTCGGTACAACGATTGCCTAAAACGATAACACAATCGATTGCAATCGATTACTCAACTTAATAAATTAATAATATTGATGAAAAAAACTAATTGTAGCGTTAAATGTGAGTAAATTACTGAAATATCGACGATTCAGAAAAAAACTACACGAAAATATTAAAAGTTGTTCATAAGATTAACTATAGGGAAATTTCCATATCCACACTAATACACTCTGAACAGCTCACCACTCATCAATATACCTAATCAATGTAAAAAACTTAAAAGAAAATTAAGGCTCTTTCTAGAAAGCCAAAGGTTAGTGCGAGTCATGGCTCTCGATAAATCAATCATAGCAAGAGACAAGGTAATGAACTTTCAATTCAAGGGAAACACTTTTTTTACTGTTGTTACCACAATTCGCGTTTTGGAATTGACTCTGAGCGTTATAAATTAGTTGCAACGGATTTTTTTTTGTCACGCAGATTGCAGAAGGTAATCAATCCTTTTATGTGAGGTAAGTTCTAAAAAAATCTGTCGAACCTGCTATTGATCCTCTTTCAACAAAGTGCTCAAAATGTATTCACTGAATTTTTGTGAAATTGGCCTCTACAAACTCATAGATTTAACGAATATTATAATTAAAGTAACATAAATTATGTGTACATAACCTACAACATATCGAAAAATTATTACAGACTTTTTGTTATCTTTTAAATTTTGAAATAAATAATATGTCGTCATTTTGTTTATGCTTGTTAATTATTCCGTAAATTTTCATTAGAAAATATATTATTAAATTCATGTATAATACGTCATATTAAAATAAGAAATAATAATAATAAGACCTTGAAAATATAAACACTGACACACTGAATATACAAAAACAACAAATAAAACAAACTACTCTTACCCTGATAGTTACTTTGAAAACGAAAGTTTAAAAAATAAACGTGCAATATAAATTTTTAACGGTTTTCTTATTTCCTTGACATGCCTTAAAAGTGACATTTTTTTAGGCTGTTTAATAAAAAAAAGGCTTGCTCTTTTTGCTGACAGTGTTACATAATATCTTACAGATAGATATTTATTCTCATAGATATACCAATTTTATTTCATGAGGAGGCGCCGTAAATGAACTATTACCTTGATACTGATTGTGATTTTGTCGTGGAAAGGTAGACACTTGCCGAAAAGTCATGGTTATACAGTCTCTTCCATCCGAATCAAACACTTCGAGTCTCTAATGTATTACACATGAGCAAAATGATGTTCAAAATAATTGTGTTCATTCACTTCTACGTGCTTACTTATACAGAAAGTCACACTACGCTACATATCGCGTGGAAATAAAAAAAAAGTCAATCATATTCTTCCGCCAAAGGTACCTACTAATTCACGCAAATACAACATACCGTATCAAATTATGGATTCCGATCCTTCTTATCAGTGATAACCGGAGGATAGCGCGCGTCTTACTACACAAAGGCCACCCCACTCGTGACTGTCTGTTTTTCCAGTGATTTGTCTTTTCATCCCCTATCCCCTACGTTCACAACACATGGAATCATCTTCGCTGCCGTTTTGCCATTGACCCAAAAATATATCGATTGTTCCAATTTCGCGTAATCAACACAACAAATTCATGTGCATAAACAATCAAGCGATTTCGAAGGGCCGACCGCGATTTTTCCTAAAGAAAATACCTCGTTTCTCGGACAGATGAGCAGGTTACGATTCGTCACGGCCTACTACTTTAGATTACGTAAAATAAATCGTGCGTAACTTACCTGATTTTGAATAAATATGGCTTAGTTGAGGAATGTTGTGGCGATTACTTATCCATTGCTCGTAAATGTCGGCTGCAGTTGGTTCAGTGCGATTTTTAGGCGCTTTTACTGGAGCTCGTAAGTGTAGCAGCCATTCAGGTGGGCCGAAACTGAACTTCGCCGCGACGCACTGCAGTGGCGTCGATTTCGACATTCCTGCATTGTTTGCACAAGTCCGAAATTTAATCAGATGATCCGGCCCTAGTGTGATTGCAGTTTTCGTGTATTAGCATTTCCAGTTATTCTTTTATTGTGTTCGACCTTGATTGGAGCGATATATCGTCTAATTTGCTTTAGTAAAATGAAAATGAAGTAATCAATTTATAAAAGTTCTTAGAAAACACAGCAGCACGTATAAGGATTACAATTCCAACTAGAAAAATAATAGTTTTTAATACAACTAACCTTCGGAATCAGTTTATATAAAAAAAAAACTGAAACGTTATCTAAAATAGGTCAAAGATACATAACACCTATATAAAAATTTCTAAATTTCTACTTATCATAGCAATATAGGTAGTAGGTACATATTTGTATGTGTATAGAATTTTATTATACGAATAGTTTTCTGCACTTCTTTTTTATATGTCAACAAAAGGAATTTTCTAATATATTTAACCTGTCTGAAATGAATCTGTTATGTTAACATTTCAAACTGCAGTTTTAAACAGTCAAAAATAATTTACAAATAAACATCCCTAATGTGTGTTAATATACAGAAAATACTTACATCTTTATAAAATATAAAGGTAAAATTCCTCAGTGCCTCCATTTTAATAATTCAATTCAATTTTAATATCAGTTACATTTTAATTTAAAAAGTGTTGGGATTCATTATACATAATGAATATTTTCCATAATGTGCAAAATATAACGACATACCTACAAGTAATGCCATAATTTTCTTCGACTGCAAAGACAATATTCAAAATACTTATTTATTAAATATTTTTGGTGATGGTGATGCAAGTGATTAAATTAAACCGCTGTTTTTTATTTTGATATGAATCTATAAATCCAACGATTTTTCGTCACTGCACGATCTCTCGATAATTATTGAAGAAATGGAAGCAAAGCATCATTGCCAGATTGGATGATTTGTGACAAATGAAACAATTCTTTTGCAAAACATACTTTTAAAAGTAATGTATATATTTTAAATTACAATTAAAACCATATCGTTCGAAAATGTTGAAACTACAAACTTGATTAACATTTTATTGGTACTTTTTTAATTTATAAACCAGCAGTTACTAATATTTGGAATTTCTAATCATAATTCTGTGCGTTATTTTCAATTTGTATAGATCATTTTATTACAGTTTCTATTTGTATTACAACCTTACAAATTTCCGTCATTATAGTGGATGAACTTGGCAACACTGAAAACATATGCTATGTTTCTGAAATTTCAGCCATTCTGGATACAGATTGGTTAATTATGTGAAATCAACTGAGATCTCAGGTAAATAAAACACATCTATAAGCTTATAACATTATAGCTTCTAAAAAATTCCTTATTATTTTAACGACTTCTCATTTTGTGATGTACGAATATAGAAGTAGAAGAAGAATTGTGTCTACACCTGTCATCTATCATCATCTGTCAGCTGATTGTCAAAATTTCGTTCATTCTAAACAAACAATATCTTGTAATTTCATCTATATTCAATGAAAATTCACGTTTCTTTTCGATCAAGCAATGTCTGAACACGACATAATAATCACAGAGCAGTGCAGTTCCCTGGGGGACAAAATATACTATGCTAGAAAAGGTTAATTTACGTCTTGTTTCAACTCCAAACTCTAATGTTGCGAACTTTACTTTTAGGAAGGAACGGAATTGTACACGTAAAACACGGAAGTGTAATATCGTTGTCGTTTCAGTGGATAAAGAACTTTTTCCGGGAGGTCCTCCTTCCTTATGGTTACCCCGATAGTGTTAGTGATGATTACCTTCATTATCAACTTTGGGACACTGCTCAAGCATTTTGCAGCACCATAACTAACGCTTTCACGACTAGAGCCGTTCTAAAAGGTGTTGGTGTGGGGGATCCGAATGCTACAGCTCTTTCGGCAGCAATAACCTGGATAATGAAAGAGGGTACGGGAATGATCGGAAGAATACTATTTGCATGGTGGAAAGGGTAAGTCAATGATTTAAGAGCTGTTTGCAGTACTATTTCTATAACTTTTCATCTAAACATTGGCCTTTCAAAAATCATAATTATTTACGTGTATACAATTAATGTTTTTATTTTAGGAATGGCTTGGATTCGGACTGTAAGAAGTGGAGACTTTTTGCAGACACACTTAACGATGCAGCCATGGTGATAGAACTCACTGTCCCATTTTTCAGTAATTTTTCAATGCCGATCTTATGCACCACGTCAACAATGAAGTCAATTGTAAGAATCCATGTTATATTACGATTATTCATAAAATTTATTTGCATTTTTAGGTCGGTGTAGCAGGTGGTGCAACTAGAGCCTCTATCACGCACCACCAGGCAATAAAAGACAATATGGCGGAAGTGTCCGCTAAAGACGGAAGTCAAGAGACTTTGGTTAATTTAGTGGCGAGTTTGGCAAGCATATATTTATTGAATACGTTTGACGGAACAGTGTGAGTATAAATGTGGAATATAACGAAAATTAACAGGGTATAAATAATATTTTAAATATTTTCAAACTGACTAGCTCTTCGGCGAGTTGTCCGAAATGCAAAAGACCCAGCAGCGGCTTCCCAAACTACTCGTAATTGAACGATTAAAAGGATCGTTTCTGTAAATATATTATAGTTTATTTGTAGGACCGAATGGATTCTTATTTTTTGCTTTATGTTCCTACACTTAGTGGCGAATTATTGTGCAATGAAATCACTGAAATTCAGGACGTTTAATAATCAGAGAATGGCAATAGTCCTAAAAACGTATTACAATGTCGGTACTGTGTTGAGCCCTCAAAAGGTCAATGAAAAGGAGTCGATATTTCTCGGTTTCGGATCGAAAGGTAAATTATAAGAGTAGGCTAGGATTGCCAACATTGGGTCGATGCTGACAAATAATTTTCACTTGAAGAAAAGTCAAAAAAAATGAAAACGTTTATAAATCTTAAAAAAAATTTATAAATAAAAATATGATCTATGAGTATTAAAAATAAAAAATTCAGTTGATACATAATATTTACTAAACAAAATAACTAAAGATTTATTTAATAAAAAGTATTCGTTACTATTTTCTAAAGCACTAAGTTTAGTTTGTGAATTTTACAGAGATTTTTGTCAAGTAGCGCCGCTTGAGACGGTTGAAGCAAGCCCACGAGACAATTTTTGTGCGACTCAACCTCTTCGATTTTTTAAATGTTTGATATTCGAGAACAGCGGACGGCATTGATTTTTGTTTTCTGCTCGGTAAAAGTGAGTCCGATGCGGTTGACATGTTGTTTACAGTTTATAAACAACATACCTTGAAAAAAACTAAGTAAGAAAATTTTCTGGTCAAAATAACCTTGTTGGCAACCCTACAATAGACACTCGTCTAAATAAATCAGTGATATTTCAAATAAATTTGTTGCAGTAAGCGATTTTTGTGGATTTAACATCTTAATGGGTGAATCTACCAAACAGATTTTACTCAACTACAGCTTTGCCGATTTCCAAGAAACATTGTCGGTCTACAAGGACAAGACTTATTTCATACTAGCCGATATTTATAAAAGACAAATTTATATATGTTTCGAGAGTGGAGAAACCACCGAAACCGTACTCGAAGCGTATTTCCACTCGGTGTGTTTAGGAATTGCGACATGTATTTACAACGAAATGGACCTCGTAAGACTTTTCTCCTCCGATATCGTTAAAGGTATTCGCTTATGTTGACTATTTTTAGGACATATACTCTAAAAGACATTTACGGCACCCCACGCCAATCACAAGATTGTACACTTTCATGAAATCGTATGAAAAATCGATAACGATTCAAAACATTCCGCATAACTACTTGTTAGATTTCAACGACTTTGTGAAGCAAGAGTATTACATGTTTTATACGGCCTTGGATGTAAACGGTAAGTACAAAAGAAATGCTGATGCGGTACGATAATTCTCACAATTTTAGGCTGGAATTTAGACACACATTCGTTGTCTCTAGGCGAGTGGAGAACAGACTGGAAAACGCACAGTCGGAAAAACGTGTGACCCATGGAAATGATTTTATGCATAATTTTAATAAAGGTTTCGTACAAATTTTACAAAAATATTGTTTTATTCAATCAATTTCGTATAACAGAAAAAAATAATTTTACAACTTTGATATAAAAACAATAGGATTAAACATATTTAATTTTCCTAGATAACACAGCTTTACATAATCACAATAAATAAATAAATTATATTTAGCTAAGGTAAATAATTTCTGCTAAGATATCGTCTCGTCAATTTTTTAAAAGTCTCTTATTTTCGCCGAGTGCTAATTCTTTGTTCTTGATCCGCAGCTGGTGCATGTACGCCAAAAAGCAACACCAAATCAAACTGCACATACTCACGAAAGGCACCCTATTCTTCTCTTTTATATAACAGAAATTTATCGTTTGTAAAACCGGCCAGAAACATATACCAACCTACAAACGAAATACATTATATATAATAGGAGGAAACTTAACATAAAAATTAGTAATACCTTATACGATGGTAAAAATTTTGTTTGCATTTCAACTTTAGCCTCATTTACCGTTTTTCCTTCCATCAAACTCATACCAAAGAAAAAACAGACTAACGCAGCAGGACCATAAGTCATTTGTTCTACAACTGCCTAAAAAATATCTAAATCGCTTAGACAGACTAGAATATTATTCTGCGTCTTACTTTCGTAATCGAAGTTCTTAAATTTGTCGCTGGCCACATTATCGTCGACAAACGAATCCACGCATATAAAGTTGGAGCTGTAAAAAATCCTCCATACAGGCTAAATCTTAGAGCCTGCATCCAATCGTAATTTTCCCATGTTTTTCCCGATATCGTTTGTTGGATGATGCAAGAAGTTGGCCATATCGTTCCATAAGATATCATACCCCTTATGATGGGGTGACGGTTTGTAAAGGCTACCAATCTTGAAAAGACTGCAACCATTTTATTTTGCACAACTTAATTTAACCTAAAGGTCTAAAGATAAAAAAGCTGTTTAAAATGACAAACAGTTGTTTCCAAATCCCTAATAATAAATATAAATATTTGTCGCCTCACCACATCATATTTTTTGTGAACTCGTAATGGAGCAACGCAACTATGCCAGCATCTACTGCCAATTTTGAAACCTTGGACCTAAATTAATCCATCTCCGGGCATTCTAACATCACCTAACATCTGATTACTTGTACTTACGTCAAAATCCACGTGTTGCTATGACATCACCACTGATAACTTCAAATATAAAAAAATATAGATCAGACTGTTACTCTGAAAGTAAGGCCCCCAAATAGTTTTTATTCTTTTCTTATGTTTCATCATTGTTTACTATAGGGTATTTAAACAATGGTTTTATGATTCTTATTGATTTATTTTAGTACCATATTTGAAGATACCAAATTTGAAGGATATATTTTTGAGGTTGTTACAAAGTACTAAAGAATTCTTCATTTCTTCCGCAGTTTAGTGTAGTTTCTAACCAACAGATGGCGATCTAAAAGTTCCTCTTTGCACTTCACTCATTGAAGAATTATAATTTTTTGGAATGACCACATACGTGAAATGACGTATTTCTATTTCTAACCCTACTTTGTTGACGTTGACCCATGATACAATAAACTTACTTGGTTGTATGTGTATCATGACGTTGACCAAATAACGAGCCAATATTTATTTTAATTACATAAGCTTTATATCAATTTATTTTGTTGAGTAGCATAATCCTAGCCTATATGTTCAAAAAATTGGTAATAGTATCTTTAATAGCAGTAACAGTCGACTTTTTCTGCGGTGAGAAAGCTACCGATATTATCTTGAGTTTATATAAAACGGTATTTTATTCAACTCAAATCCCTGTGAACAGAGAACGAGTATTTACAAAGGAAGAATTGAAATTATATAATGGGGTAGATAAACCACAATTGTATCTTGCAATTCTAGGAAATGTTTTTGATGTTAGTAAAGGAATCAAACACTATGGGCCCAATAAACAGTACAATGTCTTTGTAGGTATGCCAATGTTTCTTTGACGCAAAACAGTATATTTACTATTTATTAATTCATTTACTTAGGTCAAGATGCTTCCCGCAGTTTTGTAACGGGGAAATTCAACAAAGAGGATATCAGTGAAGATGTAGCTGATTTCAGTTATGAGGAACTACGATCGCTAGATCATTGGTTAAACTTTTACAAAAAAGAATACACAAAAATCGGTAATTACCTCTAGCATCTTCATTTTAAAGTTGTGAAATAGCCATCGCCAAAAATTAGAATTACTGATTGTAAAATGGGTGGCTAATACAAAATACTTTTAGGATTATTGAATGGGAAATATTTTGATGAATATGGACGAGCAACACCTTATGGCGAAGCAGTACAAAATCTCATTAAAGAGGCAGAACAAGCGAAGCAGCAAATTCAATTAGAAAAGACCAAGTTTCCTCCTTGTAATGTAGAATGGGACGCAGATAAAGGAAGCCGCGTTTGGTGCTCACAGAAAAGGTAATACTAACACAACTGCCACAAATTAAGTACATAATTTGTTATGTTCGTTTTAGTGGTGGAATAGAACGCAGCTGGGTCGGTGTACCTCGTCAACTATACGAACCAGGCTCAAAGAGTTATCGTTGCGCCTGCATCAACGAAAGCAATGAAGATCTAGGGGTTGTTAAGGAATATGAAGGTTGTGATAAAACATCCTTTAGTTGTTTTGTCACACAAAACTGAAAATTACATAATTTCTATCGAGAAGTTCGCAGTTCAAATAAAATTTAAATTATTTGATTTTTCATTTTGACTGTCTTTTTAATATAATTATGAACTGATTTGTGTTTATGTTGGAAATATTTTATATTTTGTGTTGTTTGAAGAAAAAAATATTAGTTTTCAATCCGAGTCCAAACTGGTGCTATTGCAATTTTTATATAGGACTTATAATGCAGTACTTACTTTTGAAACACTTTGTATATGTACAGGAGCTAATAAATTCAATATTATGCATCTCTTAAATTAATAATTATTAACTGAAAATTTAATAACTGTACACAGTCACAGTATAATTAAATATTAAAACATAGTTTAGTTAAAATAGTATTACAATGTGATTAATACATATTTAGTGACGCATCATAGACCCGATTATATTTTGCTCTCTATTTTACTTAAATAACAACCAGTAAGTGTAATACAATGTTGTTTAAATAAATTATCTACAACTTCTGGTTTTTGTAGAATTGCTTCCAAAAAAAATATTTATAAACCCTAACAGATATAGATACCAAACGTTTACAGTGTGGTTTTGGTAAAATATAGTATGGTTTTTATATTGTTAATAACCACAATATTTATCATTTGCATTAGCAACTCGGTTAGGTTTGTGAAGAGACTGAGTATTATCACCTAATGTGTCCCCAACCTCTAAATATATAAACTGATGATAATCAATCAGCCAAACCACAATGCCTGTGTGCAATTCCAAACCAGTGACACAAAGACACACACTTTTATTTTTATTAAATAAGTTTCAAGGGGATTAGAGATGTTTTTGCGACCAAATATGTTCTAGTTCGGTTCAAAACATTACATTTTTGCGTTGAAATATAAAATACCAATGATATTTGACATATATGTTGTAGGTTATATTTCACAGAGCGACCTACAATGCTTTGTGTCGGTAGGCATTGAGTAAAAATGACATTTATTAATATTAAAGATATGACATATATTTTGTAGGTTATATCTCACCATGATGTAATCAGAATCGACGTCTGATGTTGTGTCGCCCAACGGGGGGCCGTAATTTTTATTTTTTTATCGGCAACCACTCTCGCTATGAGCACAATGTGTGCTATGATGACCATACCGCCATTATCGCCATTATTCTATGGCTAGAAATTGGCCTCAATGATTTGGGATCGAGGGGGATTATCCCTCTTTATCCTGCCTCATCTCGTGTAGGCCT